TGGTGTTTTGGATGGATGGATGGATGGATGGAAGGAATCCATTGAAAGCATTTACATTTTATGGACATTGAAAATATTTAGGTTTTGAGTTATAGCTCAATTAGAAAGTTAAAGAAAACCTCTGTAGATACTCAAATTTTATTCCTTGATTAAGCCAGAAAACTATGTACTTGCAACAGTATTTTGTCCTCTTAGCTAAAAATGAAACTAGTTGCCATGGAATTGATTCTGACTCATGACGACCCTGTGTGTGTCAGAGTAGAACTGTGCTTCACAGGATTTTCAGTCGCTAATTTTCTGAAAGTACATCACCAGACCTTTCTTCCAAGGCCCTTCTGAATAGTCTCAAACCTCTAACCTTTTCGTTAGCAGCCAAGTGCTTAACCATTTTATATTGCACCGAGTTTTAACATTGTACATATCAGCCTAGATGGAAGAATGTTCTTAGAAACAACCTATGATTTTGTTTTTTGAATGGATCTCTTTATGAAGATAGGTGGAAGAAATTTTCCTCAAATAGTACCAGGAATACTTTGGGAGCAATTAGTTTGCTTTTAAGTTTAGTAATGTTTTCCTCTATAGGCTACTAAGAAGTATAGAGCCATATTTGGGACCCTTCTCTAGCTGAGATTATAGAACCTTAAAACACATATTTCAAATACTAATCTTACCCACAAATTAATTAGTAGGTATGCATTCTGTCATCATTTAGCAAGCTGACATAATATCTTTTTGATAAGCTTTTTTTATATATATTTTTTGTTTTGTTGTTGTGGTTGAGAATATACACAGCAGAACATACACCAAGTCAACAATTTTTGCATGTACAAGTCAGTGACATTGATTACATTCTTTGAATTGTGCAGCCAGTCTCACCCTCATTTTCCAAGTTGTTCCTCCCCTGTTAACATAAACCCACTGCTCCCTAAATTTTCCATCTGATCTTTGAAGTTGCTGTTGACAATTTGATCCCGTTTAGATAGATTTTAAACGAGCGCACATGCTCAAGGCAGACATTCTTTACTAGTTAAGCTAAACTATTCTTTGGTTTTAAGAAAACTTCAGGGGATATTTTTTGGTTTAAGGTTAT